AGCACTTGGGAAATACACTGTTTTGATGTCACAACCACCTTGTATTCTAGGACAAATAGGTGCTGAGCACGACATTCATTCATTCATTTTCTTTTTGGCTTATTTATTATTATTTCTTTTCGCCTTTATTAATCTGGGATCACCACAGTGGAATGAACCGCCAACTTATCCAGCATATGTTTTAAGCAGCGGATGCCCTCTGCATCACTGGGAAACATCCATACACATTCATACACACACTTACACTATGGACAATTTAGCTTAACCAATTCACCTATGTTTTTGGACTTTTTTGGACTTGAGGAAACCCACACCAACACGGGGAGAACATGCAAACTCCACACAGAAACACCAACTGACCCAGCTGAGGCTCGAACCCGCAACCTTCTTGCTGTGAACATGCTACCCACTGCGCCACCGTGCAGCCCTAGGCACGACATTATTTTGTCAAGTATGATGCGATCCTCGATTAACATCCATGTTAATCCTGGAATATCATTTTTTGCACGAAAATGTAATCCATGCCTATTCCCTACTCCTAAACCCAACCATAACTGTAAATTATTTCCAGAATCAGAGAAATAATTATTGGATAACAATAAACTTAATGTTTGCATAAACCCGTAAGCTTAAATTTAACATAAACTCTGAACATAACCCTTAATTCCAATTGGCTGATTGGAATCTTGTTCCAGCATCAACATAGATGTTAATCCAGAAGCATGTACTACTTGGTGAAATCAGGTTGGCGAAGGTGCTGGAGTGGACATATGAATCAAAATCAAAATTGAGGGATCGAGCGTATGTCCATGTAAGCTTCCCTCATTCACTTGATGAAGTGGAACGCACTTTACAATGGCAGTGGGGAATAAATCAAGGGATGTTCAGGAGTGCATGGCTAAAATTGTAGTGGAACAGAGCCAGTCTCTTGAACCTGTCAACATCTGTTGCCATTTGTCCATGCATGTTTTCAACATGCTCAATCTGAATTTGGGGGATCTTAAAAATTCTGAGAAGGTTCATACTGTTATCTTGTCACTGTCGGCACTGATTAGTGTCTGTCTGCATATATTGTTTGAATTAGCCTTAACTGTAGAGCCAAAGAAATTGTCAAAATTTAATACTAACATTAAATAAAATAATACTGTAAAACTCCTCATACAACACTTTAATGCAGTTCGTAACTATTTTAGGTTGTGGCAAACTGGAGATCAATTTTTATAAATTAGTATGATCCCATTTCTGTTTTGAAATCCATAAGGGTTTAGTGGTAGAGCCTGTTTTTATATCATAACTACCTTATTTTAAAAACATGCAAAACGTCAGGGCGAAGCAGTGGCGCAGTAGGTAGTGCTGTCGCCTCACACCAAGAAGGTTGCAGGGTAGCTGGTTCGATCCTCTGCTCAGTTGCCGTTTCTGTGTGGAGTTTGCATGTTAGAGCTAACTCTATCAAGCCTCTTCAACTGCTCCAGAACGCAGCAGCACGAGTGGTCTTCAATGAACCTAAACGAGCACATGTCACTCCGCTGCTAGTCCGTTTGCACTGGCTGCCAGTTGCTGCTCGCATCAAATTCAAAGCTCTGATGTTTGCCTACAAAGTGACTTCTGGCCTTGCTCCTTCTTATCTGCTCTCACTTCTGCAGATTTATGTGCCCTCCAGAAACTTGCGTTCTGTGAATGAACGTCGCCTCGTGGTTCCATCCCAAAGAGGGAAGAAATCACTTTCGCTCACGCTCATGCTCAATCTTCCCAGTTGGTGGAATGAACTCCCTAACTGCATCAGAACAGCAGAGTCACTCGCTATTTTCAAGAAATGACTAAAAACTCAACTATTTAGTCTCCACTTCACTTCCTAATCTGCAATTGCCTCTCTGAATATCACACTAACTGTACCAAAAAAAAAAAAAAAAAAAATACTAATACTAATACTACTAATACTTTCCTTCTTAGACTTTACAGACCTGAAACTTGCCTTCAGCACTTATTCATTGTTGCTCTTAGTTGTGTAAATTGCTTCCTTGTCCTCATTTGTAAGTCGCTTCGGATAAAAGCGTCTGCTAAATGACTAAATGTAAATATAAATGTTCTCCCTGCGTTCGCGTGGGTTTCCTCCGGATGCTCTGGTTTCCCCCACAGTCCAAAGACATGCGGTACAGGTGAATTGGGTAGGCTAAATTGTCCGTAGTGTATGAGTGTGTGTATGAATGAGTGTGTGGATGTTTCCCAAAGATGGGTTGCAGCTGGAAAGGCATCCGCTGCGTAAAAATGTGCTGGATAAGTTAATAAAGGGACTAAGCCAACAAGAAAATGAATGAATGAATGAATGAATGCTAAAAGTCAGCACGAGTGTACAAATACAAAATTTCATTGTTTTCGAAACTAAAAAAAAAATTTTTTGGGGGGCAGTTTTATGCCAAATTTGTGTCAAATACGAACAAACAGAGCTAATATGCTTAATTTTGAGACAATTTTTGAAATAAACATTTACCTCAGTAATTGGGTTTGTTCATTTTGGCTCAAATTTGGGTTGAAACAACCCAGCATTTCTGTGTTAAATGCATGTTTCAGTTTGCGATGTTCAAAATGAAAATGCAATAAAATGATTTGTAGTATTAAATGCGCAGTGGTATTTGATCCCTCAACATTTCCACAACCTCTCTGCTCCCTGTGAGTCACGGTGAACAGCCAACCACACACTCAGCATCATCAGAATGAAACTTTTTACAGATTTCAGACACATCATTGAATAATTCTGAAAAGCCCCTAATACCCTGAGGACATACATAACTTATCAGTGATACAAAGTCTCTGAGAAAGGCTGTTTTCTTAATTAAAATGCCATGCAGGCAAAATAAATATAATTTTTAGCATGATGTTAAATATCACTAGTATTTCTTCTGTATTTGTTCATTCAGACAGCTTTACTATATACTGTAAAAAATGCTGGGTTCCACACAATTCCTTCATGTTTTTCCAATACAAATCAATTATGTTAACTTAACCATTTTTACTAATTTAAAGAGCCCCTATTATGGGTTTTTGAAAATGACTATAACACAGCACTAAGTGAATAAAAAAAACATCCAGCTGAGGTTTAAATCTGAAAGTGTTTAAAACTTAGAAATAGTTGACTTACAGTCTAAAAAATGAACCGTGTTGGGTTTGGATCTTTTGCGTGAAAGCATCGACATCGATATGGTACATCACCAAATATGTAGTGTCAGATCTGGTAAACTCTGAACACACTTTCCCTTCAGACACTAGCAAAGATGACGATCACTGACAGATGGACATTCGGCTGCAAGGAATAAAGGGTTAAATTTTATTTTCACAACAACACCACCACAGTATAGCCAACCATGTGCTGTGTTTGCTCCTGTCATTTTTTAGATTTGTTATACAATAACCTATGCAGCAACACAGGATTTGTCTCCCATTTGCAATTGAAGGAGCAGCAGAGACTATCATGTATTGGACTTTGTCAGTTACTATTACAGTTCATATGGACCAGTTTCTATTTACTCCGGATCATAACATGCAGATGTAATTAAAATTGTTGCCTCGCTTTGTGTAGTTTGCAAAATATGTATTTAATAGTGTGTTGTAATCGCTCCACACATCTTGTAATCACTTATCTATTATAGATCAGTGCTTGTCCTGCATTTCTCAGGTTAAATCTGTATGGGGCTGTTCACATATCACGTCCAAAACTATGTGCTTTACCAATTCCTTTACAAATATAAATGTGTTTCTAAACTCGCGATCCTCTGCTATTTGCATTTGCTATGGCCACCATCAGCTGTTACTACATGCGTGGTGCAGTCAATTTTCAAAACAGTTTAACTTTTGCCACTGTGTGGATTGATACTGAATGTGTGGCACTGTTATAACTTTTATTAAGAATAGAGCATGTCGGTGCCAATAGCCTAGTGGTTAGTGCATCGACACATAGCTCAAAGGTGCTCGCAGCGACCTGAGTTCAATTCCCGTCTCGAGTTCCTTTGCTGATCCTTCCCCTATCTCTGCTCCCCACACTTTCCTGTCTCTATATTTCCACTGTCCTATCAATAAATGTGAAAACCCCTAAAAAATAAAAAATAAAAAAGCATATGCTGGTGTTTAACTGCATTGCTTTATTGCATTTCTGCATTGGGCTCACACACTACATAGCCGTGATGGGCATTTCTCTCGGTCTTGCTTTGAACCTAGTCGACCAATCACAACAGACTGGGTCATCGGACCAATCACAGCAGATTAACCTGACACAAAGGAGGGGTTTGGGAAAAAAATGAATCGCTAAATTATTCATTCGGAAGGCGTTGGGGTAATTATGTAAAAATAAATGCATATTATAAGACAATGAAAGTGTTTTTTGACCTTGCATGCATATCAGCCTGTTGTTAGAGACCCCCAAAACCAAAATATCATCTTAAATAATGCATAATAGGGGCTCTTTAAGTGGATTAAACATAAAAAATAGTTTTCCCACCCCAAAAAAAGCTTAAGAATTGTGTTGTTCCAACTGATTTTAGATATCTAGTTTAAAGAAGCAGCAAAAGTCATTTACTGAATGTAAGGTAGAGAGGAAAACATAAACGAATGTGACACAACAACAAAAAGGAAACCTACACTGCACTTAAAACATATAATAAAGTCCTGGAAGAAATATCCAAGGATTGGACAACGAGATTGCCTTGACCTGAGGGACACGCATACTGTAAATCCCCTATAGGAATACAAGAAACTGTCAAGGTGGTCCCATACTGGCGCTCGAAATGTAATACTACCATCTAACTTTCAAAAGACTATTACCCTTGTTGTTTTATGCGTCCAATGTCAGGTTGGCTTTAATCTTTTAATTGCAAGATTGATAACCGGATGGTGGAAGAATTACTCAGACACTGAGATGGGTCTTGTTTAGGGCAGGATGAATGATGTGACTCATAAACTTTAAACCCAGAATGAACTGCTGAATGCAGAGTACTTAAGCGTTTACATACCTTACGACTGAATACTATGCCAGCTTTTTCCCATCTGTACTTCTGGACAAGCCTAGTGTGTGCCTGAAGGTTAAAATAATGTAAATAATGCATTAAACACAGAAAACAGCAAACTTTGAAGGTTCATAAATGACCAAGATATTTTCAATCTAAAGATTGCTTTTTGACAACTCATGATCATTTTCATTATTTTTAATGTATTAAACACAGAAAACAGCAAAGAAATACAATCTCAATAATTGTTTTCCATATAGAACGATAACGATATATGTTTCAATATAAGTTGTTAATGCTTCCAGATTTAACAGAGTATCCCAACGATAACTGAATCCACAACGATAAGAGAGTCCATAAAATAGCATAACATTTTCAGCTGATTAAATTTCGGTGGCCGAAAATTGCAGAGGGTTCTGGATGCAGACCTGGTACAGTGCAATCTGAGCTGGATCAGTACTGGGACACAACTCAGTACTGGGAAATACCTATACACACTTATTCACACACACCCTCATACACTACTGACAAATTATTTTATTTAATTCACCTATAGCGCATGTCTTTGGACTGTGAGGGAAACCGCAGCCCTCGGAGGAGAACATGCAAACTCCACACGAAAATGCCAACTGAACCAGCCAGGACTCAAACCAGCAACCTTTTTGCTATGAGGCAACAATGCTAACCACTGAGCCGCCGTGCCACCTGCACAAAAACAATTATAACAACTTTTCATACAGTGTTTTTGCAGATTTTATGAATATAAATTAAAAGAGTTTTCGAAGACATTTTAAGACCATGTGAAGTTAAATAAATGGAAGACTTTACCTTAAAAATGTCAATATTTTCTCTCTTTATAAATAATAATAGGGCACACGCTGAGCTAATAGATTCAAAGTATGAACTGAATACATCCATAAACATTATTTTTTCAAAATCTGCTGAAGTTTTGAGGTAAAAACTCCAAAACACTATGAAAATATCCCAGAAAAAATCACTTATTTTAAACAGGTGACGTCCTGCATTTGTCAGTGGTTTTGGATAAAAGCGTCTGTTAAATGAATTGAGAAATATAGTAGCTATGTTCGCTTAAACTCAGACAAATAACTCCAAGAAGCTCACTTGTTTTATATTTCTAAATATACTTTTAATATCAAAAGTCACCAAGGTCTCACCGGAGCAAAAGCGTCGCTGTTTCATTAGCGGGACAAGCTTTGTGGCTCCTTTAAGTGTGTGACCTGGAAGTGCGTCAGCATCACCGGCAAGTACACGGATCCTCTTCCGGCCTGAAAAGCTAGGCTGCGAGCGTGGATTTTTATCTGTGCTCTTTAAAACACTTTAAATATGAGCGTACCGGCGTTTATTGACATAACGGAGGAGGATCAGGTATGTTTAAATAACTCACAAGCATTTTGTGTGTTTACGCACTCATTTCAGCAAAAATAACGGTCCCGCTAGATAAAGCATGCTTTTAGATGCTAACATCTGTTAGCCTTTAGCTCGATTAATACTTGTAGAATAACGAACTGGTAATATCATCGTTTAACAGACAGACATATGTTTCTTGTTAATGTTTGTGTTTCCACATATTTTGAGATGGGTTTTGTGTTAAATAAATGTATTTTTGTATATCAGCAGAATATTTTGAAGCGCAAGTCACGCACCTGCTAAGTTTTTTTGTGTTATTGACAGCATATAACGTTATTTCTCAACACATAAATATTAAAGTATTTGTAATCCAATATTTATGAATTGACTGGACGCTTCTTGGTCAGAAACTATGCGGATGTTCTCTAATAGGAATGATAACCTGATTAAAAGTGTCTTATTTTCTTTATTAACGTTAGCGTTATATATTTAATTTGTTTTAAACAGATTAATTAAATAACATGATGTCCTAAATGAGGTAAAGTTGGTTTTATATTCGTGCATTCGATCTTTGAATGTTCACTCTGAAATGGTATGACTTTAAAACAATATTAGCACTATTTAATTGATTATGAATGGACAATGTTGTACTTTATCTCTTTAACTGCCTCACCGAGAAAATAAATGTTGGACAGCATTTCTGAACTCTTAATATCACTAGTTACCACACTCAATGCATTTTTTCAACACATCCCATAATTTCTGAAATACAAACTTCTACCAAATGCTGGATCTGTCGGTTTATGGTAAAAGTACCAGAATTAGTACATATACTATACAAAATATGAAGTGTAAGACCAATTTATTAAAAAATGATCAAGATAAAACATTTTGACTACTCAATCATCTTTGTTTTTTGAAGTATACCATAAAATATTTCTGATTTTCATTTTACATCTTTTTTTTAACAATAAAACCAAGTCAAATCAAGTGTAGAAGTGCAACAGAATTATGTTTGTTTGATTATTTTGTAAACCAAAAATGCTGTGTGTGTGTAAACCATTATTTAAAACTTTAACAGTCTTTATTTAAAACAGTCAAAACAATATGGTCATCCATTTGGTGGAGCGGGCAGTTAACGGGTTAAAAATAAATAAAAACATGAATTATTAGAAACATAAACTGTAAGTTATGCACCTGCTAAGTTTTTGTGTTGTTGACAACAGATATTTCTCAACACATACATATTTATATATTGGTAATACACTATTTACACACGACTTGTGACACACTCACTATAATGTTTACCATGCTGCTTTGAATATTCGTTCTGAAATCGCATGTATGGCGTAAAAAAAAAACATTATTTCTTTTGTATAACATGCCTTTATTGAGTTTTTTCAAGATTTTACAATAACAGGCTTAGGGGAAAAAACTTAATTAAATAATAATAATTAAAAAAAAGAGAAAAAAAAATATATATATATATATATATATATATAATTTCTAAATATAGTTTCACTATTTATAATTGGCTTAGAATAATTTTCCAACATGATATAATTAAGGAGAAAGTCTGAATGTGTGGATATAAAACCAACTTTACCTCAACCCATAATTGTTTACCAATCTACTTTGAATATTCGGTCTGATATACCATGTAAATATGACTTATATCAATATTAGCAGTATTTAATTGACTGTAAACAATGTTATACTTTAGTAGTAGTCATTTGCTGCTAATATAAGTTCACCTATTCAGAATTTGTTAACAATACTTTTTAAAAAAAATTTATAATAAAGGAGAAAAGCTAAATGTGCGAATATAAAACTAAATTTACCTCAGTGATGTTGAATGCTAGGGATACATACAGTCTTCTATCTTTTGAACAAATTCCCATTTTTGTAGCTTTCCTATTAGACGAATCAAGTCATAAACATGTACAGTTTTATATTTTCAATATGTTTTTTAAAGAAAGCTTACATCAATTAAATGTATGTAATGTAGTGTATGCTTATGTATGAAATGTGTAGTGAAAATGAAAATAATATAATTAATTTAATATAAAATTAAATGTTCACTTTCATGTGTATATGATGGTATATAATTTTCATATTACAAAGTACAATCGATATGTATTTCCATTTTTGGTGTAGTCATGATACCAAGAAGCTGCTCAGATCTTTAGTTTGATGATCACTGAAGCAGCCATTTTCATCAAAATCTTCAGAAATAGACATTCGTAGAAACGTTTTGCACTTGTGTATCATTCCATAGGATGCTTCTTGGATTTAATTGTGCATAAAGAGTATCTGAGAATATAATTCAAACTGTATTTATTCTTCTGACTTTGGCTTGCAGGCGTCAGAGCTTCGGTCCTACCTGAAATCTAAAGGAGCGGAGATCTCAGAGGAGAATTCAGAAGGAGGTCTTCATGTTGATCTGGCACAGATCATAGAAGCCTGCGATGTCTGCCTCAAAGACGATGACAAAGGTATAAACAAACCACTGAAAATATGACCAAAAAATCATCTTTTTTTTTCTTATATTTGGATGTAAAATATACATCCTACTTATTGCTCTCAAATAAAACAATATTCCTATTTTAAGTCTGTGAGTCTTAAGTCTTAAACAAATATAGTGAATAGGACAATGTTGCTATGCTCACATGAGTAAAATTTGCATGACTTTGTGCTATTTAAAGTTACATTTACCATGGTATTTTGTATACTCCATTTTAATAGTCATGTTACTTTTTTCCATATTAAGTAATGCTACATTGTTATTCTGTTATATTATTTATATTCATAGCAATGTTATACATTAAGAGATGCACCTTTATGGAAATTATGGCTGATACCGATATTTGATGTATAGCTATTTATATTTGTTAGAGGATAACGGATTTATAAGCTGATAAATACAAATGTTGAAATGGACTTTTATGAGTCCGATTACCTGTTATCTGATACCACCTGTATGAGACACTCTTTCCCTCTTTGTATACACCACACACCTTCTTATAAACCAGGGGTGTCCAAACTCAGTCCTGGAGGGCTGCCGTCCTGCAGATTTTAGCTCCATCCTTGCAGGTGTGTTGAAGCAAATTGTTTCTGGAATGCCTGGTAAGAGCTTGATTAGCTAGCCCAGGTGTGTTTGATTGGGGTTGGAACTAAACTTTGCAGGACACCAGCCCTCCAGGACCAAGTCTGGACATCCTTGTTATAAACACTATACTCCTAAGAAAATGTGTATTTCTGAGTGTTCATGCAGGTAAGTGGGCTTGACAAACCAACTGTAGGACGTTGTAATTGTAGGATGTTTTCGTCTCCATATGCACCAAACTTTTTCCTACAAACACCAATAAGTGGACTTGATAATAATAATAAATAATGAACTTAGACTTGTCTTGGCATCTATTCACCGTATTCTTCGCCGACAAGCGGGCGCAGCCATTTGAATCTTTTTGGCACGAGACTTCCGGTCTCATTCACTTTCGTTCATTTTTAGACATTAACAACTGCTCGTTTCACTGTTTGATGTTGCAAACTGATATTTCATTGCTGTATTATTCTACTTGATATGTATAGTCATGCAAACATTTGTTTGTAGAGCAAGTAGTTTGACCGTTTTTTTTTTTTTGCCGTTTATTATTCCTAGTCATTTCTCCCATAGGCGACTGAGACGGAAGTTCTAAGACAATCGCGAAAACAGGCGCACTTCCGCATTTTAGAACAAGGTCAATATAATGCTGCTTTGTGATCTCTGGTTTTTAGTTTTATAGTATAAACGATTCTGCTGAATGAACAAATGTAAAAGGATTAGACAAAACACAAATACAGCGGATCAATTGTTATGTGTTAACCTTAACTGCAGAACAGGAAAAATCTAGAACCTTCTTTCCTAAAATCATTTACTAATTGCAATTCTGAAGCCCTCTTTGGCCCCTTTACTTGAACTTATTTGGTGTCCCCTTTGTCCTACATCTGTTAGTCAGAGAATATTTTTTTATTATTGACCAATACTGATATCTGGCGAATCTAATCAGAGCTTCTCTTTATAGATCGGATACACAAATAACCTTTTTTTGTCCCCCTCTGCTGATGTCTGCAGATGTGGAGAGTGTGATGAACAGCATCGTGTCTCTGCTGCTGATTCTGGAGACGGAGAAGCAGGAGGCTCTGATTGAAAGCTTATGTGAGAAGCTGGTGAAGTTTCGTGAGGGTGAACGGCCCTCGCTTCGGATGCAGCTGTGAGTGTCTAGACTGTTTTTGTTTTTTTTTTAATTTCCTTGTATTAATTATTTGTATGTTTGCTTGTATTGAACTCGTATTCTTCTCTTAGTTTGAGTAATCTGTTCCATGGTATGGACGAGAACACTCCAGTGAGACACACTGTGTACTGCAGTCTGATTAAAGTGGCGGCAACCTGCAACGCCATCACCTTCATGCCTACAGACCTAGACCAGGTATAGAAACCGCCGTCATTTTATTAAACTGTGTTTGAAATATGAAGGTATATAGTCTTTGTGGTTAATCATGGAATAATTAAATGAAAATGAAAGTGGCCGTCTAACTAATGACGCATTGTGATTGACTGGTATAAAAGGGTGGAGTTAGAAGATTGTGTCACAGGCCTCGAGGAAGGCCTTGTTTTTGTCTTTAAATCACCCATAAAATGTAAAAAGGAAACAAGAAAAACAGTACGAAGCAATTACTTGATGAGTACGAATCATTACCTTTTTGAATAATAGCATTCTGTTATTTAAAAATTAAATTGTCAAAAAATCCCTACCCTTATTGTTGTTATTGTTATTGTAAAGTTAATTACAGTCTAGGATTTTCACGATACGGGAA